CATGCGAGCCCCAAACTCAACTCCGATAGTCACATCATGAATCGGCTGGAACCTCTTGTCAGTGAATTGCAGTGGCAGGCATGATTTCCCAACCCCTGTTCATATTCAAACAGCCAAAATCGGAAAAAGTAAATTAAGTTTAAAGTTCACTACATCATTAAAATCTCAAAAAAAACAAAAAAAAAAAAACACAAAAAAACAAAAACAAAAAAAAAAAAGTTAAACGTCTTTCACCGGTGTCTCCGATGATTATGTATTTGAACAAGTAATCGTACGACATCTCCACGACCGCAACGATTCAGGAGGTGATGATGAAGAAGAAAGGAAAGAGAGGACGTGCAAGAAAAGAAAAGGAGTAAGGGAGGGAAACCAGCTACCATAACCTCCTTAGCGGAGCTAAATATATATCTATAATATTATTTCATACTTTTTTCGATTCCTACTTTAACTTTACATTAAAATTCCTATTCCTATTTCTATTCCTATTCCTATTTCTATTCCTATTCAACAATATTATTCCATCACTACTCAAGTTCAATTTGTATAAAATAGAATGGGTTTAATATTAAATAGATTGCACAATATAATATTTAAACAACTAATATATTAAAATATAATTAATTCATTTAATTAAGATATTAATTGCACAGATAATTATTATGTTAATTAAGATAATAATTATACAAATAATAGTATAATTACACTTAAACATGGATGGTTGAATTTTTTCATAATTACAATTATTTTAAATAAGGGCGAGTTTATCGAATTAAAAATTTTGTGGTGGTTACTCATTTCTACAAAAACAAAACTACCACTCATAGGTACATGTTGCAGTTCTATTCTAATACAATTGTTGGAGCAGTGAAGGATGCAGTTTTCTCTATACAAATTTATGACAAAGAGATTTCCCTTCAAGTTCAAGCGTAAACAATTCCCGTTGATGCTAGCATATGGACTCTCAACAAAAGCCAGGGCCAAACACTAACTCACGTTGGGTTATTGTTGAAAACACCGGTATTTAATCACGATTAATTGTACGTGGCTTTTTTCCGAGTCACTCATCGTGATGGCCTAAAGATTATAGCTTTAGATGATGATGGACAAAATTTTGTTACTACTACTAATGTCGTCTACAAAGAAGTTTTTAACAATGTGTAATTCAAAACAGTTATATTATGTATTCTTCTTACATAGATATGACAAATTAAAATTGTCATATTACATATATATTCCGTGCGAGTAAATACTAGCCAATGTCCCTCGAGTTTGGTAGTTTCACCACCTATAGTCCCTAAATTTCGTAATTACCAGCTGTGGTCCTCCAAGTTGCGAAATCTGACCTGCTACCATCCTTTCGTTAGTTCATTCCGTCTTTGCCGTCAAAAGTAGGGGTTAAATAGGTCATTGCCATTGTTTTTAGCTGTGGCTTTAACATTCAATTGCAGGGGGGCCCCATTGCCGGAATTGCACCCGGCCAGTGTTTTTTTTTGAATGTTACTAGCTCTATTACATTGTACTAATAACGTTGTTTTTAGCTGTGGCAGGGTTAAATAGGTCATTGCCATTTAACGTTGTTTTTAGCTGTGGCAGGGTTAAATAGGTCATTGCCATTGTTTTTAGCTGTGGCTTTAACATTCAATTGCAGGGGGCCCCATTGCCGGAATTGCACCCAGCCAGTGTTTTTTTTTTTTTTGAATGTTACTAGCTCTATTACATTGTACTAATAACGCCTCCACTGAGGCTCAAACTCACAACCTTCCAAATGGAAGTCCAACCCGGGTACCATTAGACCACAGAGTCCCGGTAGCAGAGCTAAATATCTATAATATTATTTCATACTTTTTTCTATTCCTACTAAAATTTTACATTAAAATTCATATTCCTATTCCTATTCAACAATATTATTCCGGTCACTGCTGCAATCCAATTTGTATAAAATAGAATGAGTTTAATATTAAATAGATTGCACAATATAATATTTAAACAACTAATATATTAAAATTAATGAGTTTAATTAAAAAATTAATTGCACAGCTAATTATTATGTTAATTAAGATAATAATTACACAAATATTAGTATAGTTACAGTTGGACATGGGTGCTGAATTATTACATAATTACAATTAATTTATTATTATTATTATTATTATTATTATTATTATTATTTATATATATATATATATATATATATATATATATATATTAATTTATTAATTTATTTATATATTTTTTTCATTATTTTATGCTAATAAATTTGTATTTATCTATTAATTAATTTATGCTAAAAATGTAAAACACATTCAAAGCAGGTTTTGGCTAGCTTGTTGGTGGTCCTTTTTGCCAGCGGTTGAAGAAGTCCTCAAAAAGTTTAAACACAATAAAGCCCGGGTTTGCCCCTCCTTCACCTTCTCCATCACCTTGTTGGGCCACCCTATTATCTTCTGTTTGAAAATAAAGAGATTAGAAGATTTAGAGAATCACTAATTTCAACAAACAGAACTAAATCTCGGTTCCTTACCGGACATTCCAGAAACCGAATCTTTGTTGCTTTTAACTGACTTTAGTTCGGACGTTTCAATAAACAGTATCATTAATTTTTCTACAAACACAACTAAATCTCGGTTCCTTTCTATGCATTCAACTTCTGTTTTTATAAAAAGTAAATATTAGTAGTTAGTAGTAATATAATAACACAACACTATCTCTAGAATAGTCAGAAATTACCATATTTCTCTATCATTTTTAGAGATCTCCTCTGACTTCTCTGTTTTATAAAAAATAAAGATTAAAAACAGAAGTAGAAGCTAGAACTTAATACAAGAGTAAAAGAGTAGAAGCTACCAATGATCTTGATCTTGCTCCCTTCTATTTGTTCATATATATATATATATATATATATATATATATATATATATATATATATGTATAAATGAGAATAAAAACAACATCAACCCTCCCCTCCCCTTTCTCCCAACAAGTTACTGAAGAAGTTGACAACTTAATTACTCTTATTCATGATTTCATTTTGTTGTTGAACATCCATGTTTGATTGAATCTACAATTTACAAATCATTCTCTTCCCAAGAAGAAACAGAAACCATTCCCTGTGAAACATCAAGGCAGATCTTCCCAGTCGACTTGTCTGATGCAGGAATTTTGAAGACATCAGCTACAATATATTAAGAATATTTGAAGTTTAAATTTATATGTAAATAAAGCATTTCGATCTTTGTGTCTCTATGTTTTTATTGATAACGATGTAATTTATGAATTGGTATTATTATTCTTACACATATATATATATATATATAGCATTTACATGATTAGTAGACGTATAAGATTTGTTTGATACAATTTATTAGATTTGGCTTTGTAAAATATTTTAATAGTAATAATAAATTTTTAGAATTTATATCTATACTTTTATACTTAGTTACTATTAATAAAAGCAAAATCTTCTACTTCAACTTTCCATCTCATTCTTTTGTTAATATTAATTAATTAATTCTTTTATTTGCATATGTATGTATGTATGTACTGGCCATATCAATTACATGATGGATTAGAGTGATAATTACATGATGGATTATTGTTTTAGTACTTCAATGCACATGGATTACAGTACTTAAAAAATTCTTCATATGATTTGTTAATTACTTACTTACTGCATATGCTAAGAAATTCATGGAGCCAGGTATGTTCACAGAATACCAACTAAGCGAAAATCATGTATTTTCTAAAGGTCTTGCATTGATAGAATTAACTTACATTTAGTATCAGAGCCATAAAATAATCATAATGAACCATAGGATAATAATAATAATAATAATTCTAACATCAAAGTTGTCTTTGTTTTTAGGCGGCAGGAAAAGGTCATCATTCTATATATTATGACATTTGGAATATCTAGTACTTGAGTAAATTCAAGTGGGATGATGTTACTGGGAGAAGCTAACATTTCCTATGACGACTAATATTTTATTGCATGCTTTGATGTCCAAACGTAATTACCTGACACAATAAATGCTTGCAGCATACAATAATATAATGGGACTATAGAGAACTATGTACGTCATCCTTTATTCATATACATCCATCTTTATTATTATTGTTATCTTGTTCCTACAGTTGCAGAAAGTTCAACAAGAGTCGATTGGAACTTCAATTCTTCTGTGGATAACCAGTTTATGCCAAAGTTTAGAGTGAATTCCATTTTTGGTCCTACTGTTATAGGGATATTTTCAATTTCAGTCCACTTTAATTTTTTTTGCCACTTTACAACCACTGTTATTGAATGTGTACCACTTTTAGTCCACCATTAAGAGGCCGTATAATCAAAGGGTATTTTGGTCTTTTTATGTTTGTCTCTTCTCTTTTAATCCAGGTGCTTCGTCCTCCTCCTCCGATATTCAATTATGGCTCTTCGAACAACAAGAATGGGAAGCCAAAGCTACATCGTTTCGTTCGTTCCAACATGGGCCGGCGAGGTTTCTTAGGTTTTAGGTTTAATGTTCTCATTTCTTTAGTCAAACATAGTCTTGGATGAGAAGAAAGGTCAAAATACCCCTAGATTACACGACATCTTGATGGAAATACTAACAGTGGGACTAAAAGTGGAACGCATTCAATAATAGTGGTTATAAAGTGGCAAAAAAATTAAGGTGGACTAAAATTGAAAACGCCCTGTAACAATAGGACCAAAAATGAAATTCACTCCAAAGTTTAATAATAAACACAATACGTAGAGAACAAATCAGATCCAAATAGGTGAAGACACGTACTATAGAGAACACACGCAATCTAATGGGACTATACAATACAAGTATATATAGGTCTATGTAATAACAAACAATATACATGCAGTATAACTTAATTGAAAGAAGTAAAATAATAATAACTAAAATTGAGCTAGCTGTACATTTCTTGTTTGACAGTCAAGGACTAGAATTATATATGAAGCTTATGAATAACACTCCACAATTGATAAGACTAGCACATCAGCTGCAACATCCACCTCTCTGTGCAATTGCACCAAGGCCACTACCACCTTGAGGCCGGCCATACCCAACCTTGATGCCAGATGATGACTGCAATAATTACAAAAATAAAACTATCTCAATAAAGCTGCATTCTAAATCGAGCAAAAAATTAAACACAAAACCTTTTTAAGTAAATCGCAATATATAGTTGAGGGACCCCAATTGGTATTAACTCATATATATTTGCAATACAAACTCATCTCAATCCACATCTAGATTCAATACAACTACACCTAACTCTAACATCCAAGCAACCTAAATAAGAATCACAATTTAAGAGGCTGGAGACGTAGACCCTGGTATGTAGCACACAAAGAACTTAATGACTTATGGTTAGATGTGAAACATAATTAGATGATAAGAAGAATATTTATTGGAAGGCCCAATACAAGCAAGATATACTTTGATATTAATAGGCTACCTTTAAGGTTAATAAAAGCAAGAACTTACCTCATTGGACACATCAAAAACACCTTCCTGAATTTTCTGAAGTATCTTTGAAGCAGTCCTTATGAAGGCCTGCATACAAAGTGTATCAGCTCAAAACAAACAAGTTTAAGGAACAAAAATTAGAAAATAATGTCTCTGAATTTAATTTGGCTTAAGTGTATCACCTCCTCAACATTTTGGGCAGTTCTAGCTGATGCCTCCAAAAACAAAAGCCCATTTTCTTTGGCAAATTGCTCACCCTCCTCTTTACTTACAGCTCTTCGGTGATCAGCAAGATCACTCTTGTTTCCTACCAGCATGATAGTCATATTTGCATTTGCATACTGCCGAGCATCTTCCAGCCAGTTTGCAAGATGATTGAAAGTCTCTCTCCTTTAGAAACGAAATTTAACCAGCTTAGAAGAAGGAAAATACACTGCTGCAAATTATGAAATTTTAACCACCTGAAAGTGATTTTATATCAAGTCCAAAGTAAAAAGTGGTCGGAAATAGCAACAAAGATTTTTCCGAATACTAAAAGTGGTTGGAACAAGACTTTCGACTACATAATTTCTAGCAGTGATAGAGAGAGATCAAGAACATAAAATTATTATACAAATAGCAAAAATCAAAGAAAATTGAAATCTTTGAATTTGATAAGAAAGATGTAAGATTTTCCCTAGTAATATATATTATATATTATATATTAGGGCCTTAATTAAGTAGTGCAAGTAGACTATGCTTATTAAGTGGTCTGGTTGGACTGAATAACTAGAAGTTGTTAGTCCACCAAACTCTGTGCCTAATATAATCCTGTATTGATGGGATACAGGATGATTAAGGTTAGCACATTCACTTACTGAACTCATACCGCTCAGTAGACACCAATACACCATCTAGGGTTCTGAGTCAGGTATGAGGCACAACATGCCCAACGGTCTACCGTTAAGAGACAACAACAGGAACATCAACTATGGTTGGAGATCAACACGGCTACCCTTCCACTCTCATACAAGGTCAAGTTTCTCGTATACTATGGTTCATTATTAGTTAGGTTATTCAATATCTAACAAAAGAAACATGCTGGCCAGTCAGTGTTTATCCATTAAATTAAAAGCACACATTATCCAGTATTAGAAATATTATAAATGAATAAATAAAAGAACACTTAGAATCCTTAAAAAAAAAAAAGAGAAAAATTAGAGTAAATCACCTGGTTATGTCATAAACCAGTAGAGCACCTGCAGCTCCTCTGTAGTATGATCTGGTGATCGATCTGAAGGCTTCTTGTCCAGCCTAGAGACAAGATAGTTCTTCGTTAACATGAGAGAGCAAGAAAGCTAAACTGATCTGAGGACTGAGATGAAACCACTACGAAGCAAAAGTTAACTCACAGTGTCCCAAATATGAAGCTTAATGGGGCGGCCATCAATGGTGGCCATGTGAGCCCCAAAGTCAACTCCGATAGTGACATCATGCACCGGCTGGAACCTCTTGTCAGTGAATTGCAGTAGCAGGCATGATTTCCCAACCCCTGTTCACATCCAAACACCAAAAATCCGAAAAAGTAAATTAAGTTTAATGTTCACTACATCATTAAAGTCCCCAAAAAAAAAAAAAAAAGTTAAACGTCTTCACCGGTGTCTCCGATGATTATGTATTTGAACAAGTAATCGTACGACATCTCCCACGGCAACGATTCAGGAGACGATAATGAAGAAGAAAGAAAAGCAAAGCAACTATATCGCAGCTGCGGAATGAGAGGACGTGCAAGAAAAGAAAAGGAGTGAGGGAGGGAAATCGGCTACCATAACCTCCTTAACTGAGCTAAATATCTATAATATTATTTCATACTTTTTTCTATTCCTACTAGAATTTTACATTAAAATTCATATTTGTATTCGTATTCAACAATATTATTCCGTCACTAATGCAATCCAATTTGTATAAAATAAAATGAGTTTAACATTAAATAGATTGCACAATATAATATTTAAATAACTAATATATTAAAATTAATGAGTTTAATTAACAAATTAATTACACAGATAATTATTATGTTAATTAAGATAATAATTACACAAATATTAATATAATTACAATTAGACATGGGTCGTTGAATTATTGCATAATTACAATTAATTATATATATATAATTACACTTTCGTTATACATATGGACGCAGCGGCAACAACAGGATCGATGACGGAGCTGAGTACACGATGGGCACACATGGCGCTCGATGATGAAGACACCGTTTACGAACCAACTGAGGTGGTTGCCGACGACGGCGCTATGGCGACGGGTGCAACATGGTGGCTGGTAGGAAGGTTCTTGACAACCAAGGTTATCAAGGTCGAGTTTATGAGTCAGGTAATGACTTTGGTATGGCAGCCGGTGATGGGGGTACAGGTGACGGAGATACAACCAGGTCTTTTTCTTTTTGTATGTGTTTTATCACGAGACTAACATGCAGCTTGTTCTTGATGATGGTCTGTGGCCTTATATGTACGAAAGTTGAGGATGGCGCCATAGCGATATTGATCCCTCTAGATACTACTGATATGTGTGTTCAACTCCATGATCTCCTGCTTGGATATACTTCTGATGTCATTCTAGAACAAATTGGGAATTTTCTGGGAACTTTTTTAAGATTGATGATAGATTTTCGGATGCACCGTGGAAGACGTTTTACCGTATTAGGGTTTCAATACCCGTACTGAAACTGTTAAATCGGCGTATGAAACTACTAAAACGGGACAAAACGACTAGCTGGGTAAACTTCAAGTATGAGAGACTGCATAACTTCTGTTTTTTCTGTGGAATGTTGGGACACTTGCATAGGTACTGTCTGAAGGCACAGAATGCGGTCATACCTATTGACCAATACCCGTACGGTGAGGCGGACATGCGGGCTGGGCTAAGGAGAGGACCGCGGAAAGTGGGAGCACCGTGGTTACTTGACAAAGAAAGGAAACCGATCCAGAGTGCTTCGGTGGTGGCTGCTATGACGTCGGGAACCCCATCCGCCGGCGTCGTGACGGCTGCGGTCGCAAGCAGGAAAGAGGATGATACCGTTGTGGCGGCTTCGAAGCGGAGAAGAGAGGGGTCGGGTGGCAGTAATGGAAGGAATGGCAGTAATGGTGGCAATATTCAGATGGACGAAGTGCCAAAAAACTTGTCCTTGGCGGGTTCTAGTTCCCAGACCAGCCCATCATCATGAGTACTCTAAACTGGAATTGTCGTGGCTTGGGCAATCCACAGACAGTTTGTGAAGTTGTGGACCTTGTGTGCCGTAAGAAGCCTGCTTTTGTTTTTCTTATGGAAACCAAGGTGGGGCGAATACATGCATAACGTATTCGTGTCAAGCTTGGTTTTGATGGACTTTTCTATGTTGATCATGTTGGTTTGAGCGGTGGATGACCTGTTATTATTGATACCCGGAGCGCACCAGGCGTACGGAATCTTTGGAATTATTAAAATCATTAGCGCCACAATCTGGACTTCCATGGATTATGGTGGGTGACTTTAATGGTCTCCTGTTTCAGTACGGGAAGAGAGGGGGTAACCCACATCTAGATAATCTCCTTCGCAGTTTTGGGGAGGTTATTGAGCATTGTGGATTTTCACAGTTACCTCTGTGTGTGTGTGTGGGTGTATGTGTGTGTGAATAATAATACAAATTCATAAATTTTTTAATTAATGATCTAGTATAGTTGATTAAATGTTGAACTACATTTCATCGTTATCAATAAAAACATAGAGACATGCACTAAGACCGGAATGTTTTTTTTGAAGGTCAACCAATGCGGTTGTATTTATAGATAAACTGAGATAGAGTCAAGTGGGACACCGTCCCAATACATAGCTATAGCATAATCAAAAGCCGTAGAGCTAACGTGTGCGCTAAATAATTCTGCGATCTAGGAATAAAATTAACTGAACAGGAAGTAAAAGTAGATATGCAAACTCTGCACCCGTCAACAGCATAACCAATATACGAACGAGGCGGGGCTCCTGTTGAAGATAGATAGCTCTGAAGTGTCTGAAAATATGTGTAAAGCTCTATAGACTGTTCTCCACGTGCTCGTAGCCATGACAGGGCTTCTTTGCACGCATACGCCTTAGCCATAAACGGTGAGAAACAGCTTGGTAGGGGAGCGTTGTAGGCTAAAATATATCCACCATCTGCATCCATGAGTATTGCTCCGAACAGTAGTCGAGTTCGTCGCATGGTGGTATCCAGCATCGACATAGCATCTTCTCGGCCGTGGTGCAGCAACATGGGGCACACCGGGCAGCGACAGTGCTGAGTTTGTCGGCTGGGCAGAATGGGCAGCACCGGACGACAGCGAGGATACTGAATGCGTCGGCTCGGCAGAGCGGATAACACCGGGCGGCAGTGATGGCACTGGAAGCGTCAGCTAGGCAGAGGTGGTACCGGCATTGCCTTCGGCTGGTGTTTGGGCGGCTGTTCTGTCGTGGATTTATCGCCATGCTCGCATGGTGGCTCCGGCCATCGCTAGCAATTTCGTCAATAGTGGTAGGCATGCATCCCAAACGGCTCCATTCCGTGCTCTCCATATAAGATATAAGATTGCAGCTGCGTAGATAATTCCATCAGTGTCTAGAACATTCAAGATTGCACTAAACCATTCATGAAAAATATTTGTCATAATATTTGGGAGTGGAAGGTTGGATTGAGCCCATATGGAACTTGCATAGCCACACAATACCAATGAGTGCATAGTGTCCTCATTGATGATCCCACACATGACACACATCGGATCAACCTCTACCCTCATTATAAGCAAATTGTTGGTAGTGGAAGGTTATCACTTATTGCTCTCCATATAACCACCTTTACTTAACTAGATTTGTTTCTTTCTACTACTACACACACACACACCCAAAAAAAAAAAAAAAAAAAAAAAAAAAAAAAAAAAAGTAAAGCTATTTTGAATTTTCATCTTAAAAGAATATTAATGTCATACTATAATTATTCTATGAATAAATTGTCTTCTCTTTACTTAAATGAAAAATTGTAATTTATGCCCCTCACAAATATGTCAATTATCAATGTCATCCATGAATTATTAGTGGTATAATGTTGACCCTCATTTTTAAGAACGTGACATATATTACACCTCCCCTGAATTATTAGTGGTGTAAATTAAATGTGGTTACCTGTTGTTTCCCTGTTCGAAGACCACATTTTGTTTCATCAATTTTTTCTTTATTCAATTCATTTGTTCTCCTTTTGCCGACAACAATGTTTCTCCTTCTTCCTATTAGGGGAGGGACAATATATGTCATGTTTTGAAAATTGAGAGCCAACATTTACACCACTAATAATTCATGGGTAACATTGATAATTGACATATTTGTGAGGGGCATAAATTACAATTTTCCCATACTATAATATACATTTTATTACAAACTGATCTATGTTACTATGTTTTTTTTGAAAGACAAAATTTTAACTTTTATTGACTCATTAGTAGCACATAAGAAAACTTAATTTATTTTAATATGAAAAAAATTATTAGAACATCATTTTTAGGGAAAATCAAAGATTTGGTCCCTTAATTATTAGTGAATTATCAATATAGTCCCTCAATCATTTATTCATCGATTAAGTCCATGAAATTAACCATTTTTAGTCGATTTACCCTCTCTGGCCGTCTTCCGTCACCATATTATATAATTCGGATCAAATAAAAACAAGGGCATGGGAGAGAACTAGGAAAAATCTAATGAATTATAAATAATTTTTTTTTTTAAATGAGGTGGCTTAAAAAATGTTTCATAATGTTTAAATCATCAATCATCAGATAACGTATATTTCACGTGGGTTGATGAATATCATTACTTTCAATTAGAATCTTGAGTAATTTTGTAAATAAAGCAATACAAATTGTAAAGCATACAAGTTTGAAATACGGTGTATATTTTCTGTTATAAAACTACATTTCATGGATACAACTCGCTTTTTTCAAACTAGGGATGGTTATTATTTCTGAACTTAATTGATTCTCAATCTTTTTAGAATGGAGAATTGAACAGTCACAAATTTAGAAAATAGGGACCCGGATGTAGATTACAATATAATCTGATCTCCGTCAAGGATGGGATGGGCCCGCCCCACCCCTATATATATAAAACATTATTATTTTAGATTTATTCTCTTAATTTGGTATTCGTGAACGAAGGGTAATTTTTCCTTTTTCTTTTATTTTTGTAAAATTCCTTAATTTTAATTAATTTTTAAAAAATTTCTATTATCAGTTCCGATTTTTCCAAGTGGGGACCATGATCAATGAGAAGGGAAATTTTTTCCCTTTAGGGATATGGGATAGAAATGCTATACGAGAGCGAGGACGGAGAATATACCCCACATATTCTCCATCCCGCAACCATTCCTAAGTCAAACTCAACTATATAAGCACATCACACTATATACTTCTCCCAAACATCGCACTATATGCTTTTCCGGCCTACTAGAAGTTTGGGGGATTATTTAGTGAATTTTTTTCATGTTTTACAGTCAACCTACATTTTGGGTGGTGGAAGTCAGCCATTGGAGATAATAAATCTTGTAATGCCTGCAACGGGGGTTACAACCGGTGCTGCCACCAATGAGGTCAATCAAGATCAACAAACGAATCAAAGGGGTGGGAAGCGTCACCGACA